CTGGGGGCCTCCGTGGCCAGCCCTATGAGGAGAGGCTGAGGGACCTGAATTTCTTCAGTCTCTGCAAGAGGAGACTGAGGGGGGATCTTGTGGCTGCCAACAACCTTATCAGGGGCCACCAGCAGGGACTCAGGGAAAGTCTGTGCACCAGGGCCCCCCTTGGAGTCACTAGGAACAATGGCCACAAGCTGAGGGTTTAGGTTAGATATTAGGAAGAACTACTTCACTGTAAGTGTGGCCAGAGCCTGGAATAGGCTTCCCAGAGAGGTGGTGCTCTCAGCTTCCCTGGAAATCTTCAAGAGGAGACTGGATAGGCACCTGGCTGGGGTCTTATGACCCCTGCCACCCCCAGTGCTCCTTCCTGCCCATGGCAAGGGTCGGACTAGGTGATCTGTCTAGGTCCCTTCTGACTCATTGATTCTATGATACATTCACTTTTGATTCTGGAAATGCAGCCACATGCCTGCACTGACCCAGCCCAGAAGCCAGAGTACGTTAGAGCACACCTTCCTGGGAGCAGATAGCTTGGGCCAAGGCTAGCTCGCCCACCCTGCAAGGGGAAGTTTGAAGGGGAGGTGCAAAGCATCCTTGGATGCTAGAGGACTGTGAGTTAACTTGAATCTGGGACAGAAGTTCAATAAACTAATTTAACCTAAATCAGTTAAGTGTGATACTATCTCCATCCAGGTTTATCTTAAACTGATTACAGCCATTTTGAAAGGAGTGCACTGAACTTCTGTAGTGTTACAGATTTGAATAAGTTTCCAATTACTTGTACCAGTTTATGTCTAATTTCTGTCCCTAGCCAAAGGCTGCAATGAACTAAAGAAATCCAGAAGACCTAACTCCAGACCTAACTCCAGAAAATACTTAAAAACATAAGCCTGACTCCCATGTCACACAAAAGCAATGAAAAATGAAAGGGAGTCAGGACCTAACTATCTTCTGTTTTTAAGGTAAGGCTAGGGAGCAATAAAGTGGGTTGGCTTTTCAGTTGACAGCAAAATGTTAATGCTTCATTGCCTTAGTAGGCATGGATGTGGATGATGATGATGATTCTTTCCTACAGCTAATGATATACATTAATAATAAACAAATCAAATAAAAACTGATTATTTCATAGCAAGTTGAAACAAACTGTCTTTTATGATACTATGTTGGATTCTGAAATGTATGGAAACTGAGTCATGGTAGTGCCAGTGTCCCTGTTAGCATTACTTTAATATAATGTGATGCTTCCCTTTCCATAATCAAATACCTAAACATTCAAAGCTCCTATTTTTTTCTAGCCACAGACTAGGGAAAAAGATGTGGGAACAAAGATCTACTTTGAGTAGATGGCAACCTGTAACACTTCAGTCCCCAAAGCAGAGCTGGCTTTAGCATTTTGGCATGGGCCTGGAAACAGTTTTTTACTACTTTCTTATAACTGGCCAGCAGCAGCAGTATTTTATACAGAGGACCAGTCTGAGGACTTGGGGAAAGTTAATAAAACAATAATTTGGGATACATCATTCATTCCACATAGAAAGGGAACAGATATATCATACCTAATGTAAAGAGAAGGAAGGGCCAGAATCTGCTCCCACTCAGGGTAGTATTTCACCAGTATAAGTCTAATGACTATAATGGGGCCAAGTCCCGATTTACACATCTGCTGGCTGAAGGTAAGAGAATCTGATTTTATGTCTGTTCAGAAAAATGGTAGAAGAAGAGTAGGGCAAAACAGGGACGAAGATATTTATCTGAAGCTGATGGAAATGGAAAAATATGGATTTTAATTTTTAATACATTTCCATTCAATCCTATTTCAAACAGAAGTTGGATGCCTATTCAGAGAATAAAAGGTTCATTTTTAAAATAAATGTTTTCACTGGAGACATAGTAAGTGAAAGTTGTTGGAATTTTGTAGCAACTGGGTCCAATTCAGCACAGCACTTAAACATAAAACTTACAGTACTTAAACAGGGACTTAGGTGCTTTACTGTGGACTTCAACATTGAAACATTTTTTCTTTTAATATTAGGGCCAAACCCTGCAATGTGATGTATGTAGGCAGACTCAGGAGGAACCTTTGTATAGGCCCACATTGCAAGGTAAAGGCTCATGTTTCTCTCTGCAAATGCATACTTCCTAACATATGCTACTGTTTCCTAGAAGAAAAGATGTCTGCTAGCAGGACACCTTCCTTTCATGCTGCACAGCTTACACGCAGTAGGTCAGAAGGAGATTTGATTGACTTTGGTGATGGAAAACCTTCAGCAAGAACCAATTTGGCAGGTGTGTTGTTTTGTGTGTGTGTGTGTGTTTTAATTAAAGCTTACTGCTGCAGTCTTTATTCAGACAAAGCTCCCACTAACTTCAACCTGCAAGCAAGGACAACTGTCCAGAAATATATGCCTTTAAACAAGGGGTGGGAAAAATGTGGCCCGTGGGCCAGATGCGGCCCACCAGGCCATTCTATCTGGCCCCTATGGCCCCTAAAAAATTTAGAAAATTAATATTTATCTGCCCCGGTTGCCTGTCATACAGCCCTCGATGGCTTGCCAAAACTCAGTAAGTGGCCCTTTACAAATCTTTTGGCAAAGGTGCCATATAAGATATGTTTTAGCTTGGGCTGACTAGTTGAAGTTAGCTAACTTAGAGTTAAAATAGCAGTAAGGGCCAGATAAACTCAAGCAGTAGCTCAATTTATCTCCAGGCTGCCATATAGGTTTGAACTCAAGTTGCTAACCCATGTTAACTTGAATTTGTTGCTATTTTAATCATAGTTAAAAATTCCATCCTCTTCTGCAGTGTAGACATTCCCTTCATTTTAGATCCCTTAGATTTGTTTATGGACTCTAGCAAGGGGCATCCTCCATCCATAACAAATGGATGTATTATAATTGCTTGTAAGCAATAAATATCTACTAGCAGTGGTAGGTACCTCCGGGGTTAGAGTTTTCTGACAGAATCAGGAAGTAGTAATTGGCTCTCTACTGAACTATCTAAACCTATCCCTCTCCTGTGTTGAAAGAAGCTGACATAGGAAAGAATCTGCTCTACTACTAGAGCAGAGGCTTTAGGGAATTTTCCATCTGCAGTATGTTTCTGTTGGAACATGCCATTTATGCAAAAATCTATTTTTTCATGGGAAATATTCAGTTTTGCTAGAAAACCAAAAATAAATCTCCACTGTCATGCAAATAAATAAGGCAGAAGGCCCCTTATTTATTTGCATGAGAACTGCAAATCTTTTCCAACATTTTGCCACCAGAAACTAGAGTGAAGCTATTACCTAAACAACAGAGCAAGATTGACGAAGCATAGGCATGTCTACATGTGAAATTAGTGCACATGAATACACTCTGGACTTTATTGCTCCAGTTTTTTCCTCCTGGGCTTGCTGTTTGGACATGCACCCAGGAGCAAATAACTCCAGAGCAAGTAGTTCCAGAGTTTATTCATGCACAGCTCCTGGAGCCCAGTCATAGCAGCTCTGGCTGGCAGGGGATGCTGAGGGTCAACCTGCCAGCCCAGTCCTGCTCTGATTGGGCTCAATGTGCTGCAGAGGGGTGGGATGGGGCATGAGGGTGTTTCAGTGTGGGGCTAGCCAGTGGGCAACTCCAGCATTGAAGCACCCTTGTGACCCAGCCAGTCCATCAGCATCTACACGTCCACTGCTGCATATAAAAAAACAAAAAAACAACAGCTCTGCCGAATGGGAGGGCTTATATTTACAAGTCCTACCTTGCTGTAGAGTTTATTAGTTTTGTATGCCCTTATAGGGGTGCACATGTACATACCGAGATGTTTACTGAGCAGTTTAGTCAACTGTGCAGTAAATGCGTATAGACACACCCCATAAGCACTAAATGACAGCTGTAGTTCTGTGTTGCAACATCCTTCTGTGCTCGCCCATCTTGCACTGTCTTATAGATGAGACTGAATGTGGACTGCCTATATCCATATAGTATAGATATGGGTTCCCCACTCAGGCATGCTCTATTCTTCAACTAACTACAACTTTGAAAAGAAATATATTTTCAGTCTGTTCCTTTAGAAATGTGGGTGCAGTCATTACATAATTATTTTTCAAAATATTGAGGCTCTATTAGGAGGTACAGCCATTACATGAGCATGGCTAATACGTGCGAACAAACAACAAAAAAAACCAAAAACAAAAAACAACCCCCCCCCCACCAAAGCAGAGAGACTATTTTTCTGTCTCTTCCAGGAGCCAGGCTGAAAGACTGTTATCAAGACAAGTCAAGAATCTTCTTGCTAGGCAGCTGGGAAGCTGAAAATATCCCAATAAGTATTTTTTTCTGCAACTTTTTCCTGTTAACACATTTTATTTCTTGTCCTGATTAGTGACAAAAGTGAAATAAAAAATGAAAATCATGTTTATAGTAAGGGGTTTTTAATTTCAGATTTCAAGAATTACTTGAACTGTAGGGACAGAGGTCCAAATAGTGAAGGGATAATAATGAAAAGCCATGGGCATATAGGGGGAAAAAAACCCAAAAAACAGATTACCCCCTCCCTCTAAAGAGCCAGCTCAGTTTGGGGGTTTTGATCTCTTTATTAAACCTAGCTAAAATGGATACTTTTTACAGGGTGTGGAGGAAGTAGAGGAGGTGGAACCTCTCCTACTCCTGTCTCTGCTGTTATTCTAGGCATGCAAAAATCATGTATGTAATAATCCAAGTTGAAGGTACTCAAGGTACGTTTACACCAGAGGTGGGCAACATACAGCCCACAGGCCAGACAGATCCAGCCCCCTAGGCAATTTCATCTGGCCCACGGGACCCCTAAAAAATTTAGAAAATATTTATCTGCTCCTGGATTCCTGTCAAAGATAATAGGAGCCAGGGGCAGTAGGACCCAGGGGGAGCCATCAGCAGGAGGCAGAAGCCCTTCCCCACCCATCCCCAGCCATTTCCCTGCTTCCTTCCCCCACTTTGCTACAACACCACGTGGCTCCTGGTTACATGACTAGATGGGAAGCATGGGGCCCCGGCGGTACAGGGGCAGTGTGTGTGAGTGAAGGCAGGGGCAGTGTGTGCATAGAGGCAGTGTGTGCATGCAGGCAGGGGCAGAGTGTGTGCGTGTATATATGTGTTCTTCATAGGACAAGTCTCATATGCACAGCCTACCATACACATGCACCCACACCACCCTTCACACTGCCATACACGCAGGCCCCCAAACAACCCTCACCCCCCCCACCATCCTCCCCTACATTTACCCCCACAAACCCCATTCCCACCCACACCCCACATATCCAGACACACCCACATGCTCCCTCACCCCACATACCCACACATCCATAACCCCCCACAATATACAAGAGTAAGACTTCATTTTAAGGTATTATATATAACCACCTCTATGTACACTACGCAAACACATACAGACCAGGACAAAAATATTTTTGAAATCAAATTAATTAATGTTTTAGGGGTTTGCTTTTTAGAATATAAATTGGTATTGTTCTGGTTCTGAGATGGCAAAACCCCTTGCTGAAAGGAGTACTTCTGGGGTCAATGGGAGGGACTTTTGGTGGCAAAGGTCAGAGGTTAGGGGGCCAGACTTCCAGTCACAAGATGGCAACCGGGGCAGGGCACCTGTCAAGGGACAGGGATACCCATGCGGCCCTCAACAGCTTGCCAAAATTCAGTAAGCGGCCCTCCGCCCGAAATAATTGCCTGCCCCGGTTTACATCATAGCAGCTGTATGTTCCAGCACAGATGCCTCACCCATCTATCTGCTCCTGCTCATATGCTGTAAATCCAGCATTGGTGAGCTCACTCTGAAGTCATCCCTGGTGGCTGCTCTGAAACTTGCCAAGGGCCATGGTCTTGTGAGCAGTTACTGAATAACAATTTGAGTGGCTTCACATATGAATTTCTATGCTCAGAGAGTGCAAGTAGGAGCAGTAGGGTACAGCTACAGTGCTTCTACAATACAGACACACTCTCAGTTCCTTGTTTAGTTACCAAGTCTTTAATCATCACTCAAATTTTAGATCTGGATTTTATATGAACTCTACCAAGGGGCATCCTATATCCATAACAAATGGGTACATTAAAAATTGCTTGTGAGCAATAAGTGTTTAATCTAAAAGTGTTCAATCTATAAATATTGTTTACATAAAGAAGGGTCCCCTTCTGTTGTTTATTCTAAATTTTAAAAGAAAGAGGGTCACAATAAAGAAATATTCTTTTTGGTCGATTCCAAATTAAAAATGAATTGCTCAGGCGCTACCAACAAGAACTATACATCATTACCTTTAAAAGCAATAAATCCTCTGACTCAGAAAAAAAATAGAAGTTAATAAAAGAATAACTAAGTTATAGGCACTAGAATGAAAGGAGATTATGAACAATCTCTTTATAATGTTCACGTGTTAGTTTCCAGACAAATATGTCAACAGCCTTTCTTAATGGATGATAATTATAAGAACCCACAGTCTAAATGGCTGACTGTGATAGATGTCAATGTCTTCAACACTCATGTGAAACAAGGATGCCTTTGCAGCCTCAGGCCTTAAATAAGTTTATTCTAGGGATTCATTTGTTAGTTCTCCTTATTAATATTGGTTGTTTAATCCTAATTTAAATATTTATATATTATTGACATAGTTGTCTATACCTTAATTTATAATTTAGGTGTAAAGCTCTAAATGATTATTCATGTTTTAACTTATAAATTTAGCCTGACTTCTATTGAAGTCAGTTAATGCTAGCTACATTAACTGACTTCAATAGATTTACATCAGAAATGAATTTGGACTGTGGTATTCAATTAGAAAAGAGGCTTTTTCTAGATGGGAATAATTATTTCCATTTTTTAAACAGATGACAAGAATAAACTGGATGTGGATATGGACTGGTCTGATATATTCAAACAGCATACTCACACTGTTTCAAAAACGAATCCTTTCTGGAATGAACTCTCAGATTCCAACCCATTTGTATCTGACTTAGCTGAATCAAATAGCAGTGAGAAGAAAAATAAACACATTTCTATCTTAAAAGAAGACCCCTATTTGTTCTCTCGAGATTCAAGCAATCGGGATTCTTTTGCTTCCTCGGGTGATGAGTTAGATATAGATTTTCTTCTACAAAGAACTTCAGCAAGGAGATCGGGGAAATCTAAGAGTATTTCAGACTTTCTGGACATTGTTGATGCCAAAAAATGTGATCATCCTGAAACAGCACCCTCTGGCCAGATTTTAGCTTTGGATAAGCAATGGCTTCAGAATAATCGTGATGCCTACAAGATGGCTTGGTTAAGTCACCGACAGCTGGCCCGGTCATGTGTTAATTTAGATGTGATGAGTCATAGTCCAGGATGGGCACAAACACAAGCTACAGATACTCATATAGTCTGTAAGATGAATCATGAAGGGGGTTCAGTGCAACTGCCAAACTCTGATATCACTATTCACATCCCAAAGGGTCATGTATTATCTGGGGACTTCCAAGAGATTGGTTTAAGGGCTATTCTTAGTCCTCCTGCATCACTGAATCATGAACTTTCAAACACTGTGAGCCCACTGTTAGAACTTACATTAAGTAACCTCAACACAATGGAAGCCATTTTACTTGAACTGAAAGTTGCAGCCAAAGTGAAGAATGAGCCTTTCAGTCAAGTGATGACTGAAATTGTGTGTTTTTACAGTCCCAAAAAAGAAGGACCTTTTGGAAAAATAGACAACTGCTACATTTATGAAGACACAATACAAGTGAAGCTGACAAATCTAAGTCATGTGATGTACATGGTGATTGCAGTACAAACAAACAAAATTCAGTCTTCAGCTGTAACCATTTGGAATTATATCCATAGAACTGTCTCTGTTGGAATTTATGGGCCCAAACATATTCATCCTTCTTTCACTGCTGTTTTTACAGTTTTTGGTCATAACTATATTCCAGAAAAACTCACCATTTTTGACATTCAAAAAGGTGGGAAGACCATGCCTCCAATTGTGTTTCAGCTGTGGGGAAAAAATACATTTTTACTTGACAAGCCACAAGATCTGAATATTTCTTTGACATCCTGTGATCCTGATTTTGAAGTGAAGGTGCAAAATCAAAGCAAAGGAATTAAAGAAGAACAGTTGAAAGCAGGTACAATGGTCCACAAACAATTTCTGTTTTCTGTCCTGGGAATGAAGGAAATATATGCATTTGTTTTCCTTGTTCAGATTAAAATTTCAGACAATACACTAGTGACTGAGTTCCATGTTAGCACTCCTGATCCAGCTCCAAAGTTACCTGGGGTGACCAGTAAGCCGAAGCGTATACAGAAACGCAAAGAGATCAAATCTGCTCCTTTCCTCTTCATGTCAACAGTTAAATATCCAAAGTTTCAAGATAAGACTTTGAATATTACTACCTATGGAGTGGCCTTGAAAACTGTTTTACGTCAGAATAAGGTTGACTACTTACTAGAGTATTTTAAAGGAGACACAATTGCACTTCTTGGCGAAGACAGAGTAAAAGCCATGGGGCAGACTAAAATAAAAGAATGGTATGTGGGTGTTCTTAGAAAGAAGATTGGTCTTGTGCATTGCAAAAACATCAAGGTAATTCCGAAGGAACAAGCTATTGACATTACTGAAAGTGTTATGGCAACAAGGAATCTTCTTGAGCAAATTGCACTGCCTTTTAAGAAACTGACCTACATCTATTCAGTAGTCCTATCTACTGTATCAGAGAGAGTTTATAACTGGAGAGCCTTGGCTGACGTACTAGGATATTCACATATGTCACTGGATGTTTTCAGTGAGGTACAAGCAGAGAAAGAGTCAGAAAGAGTTGCTTACATGGTGAAGAAATTGAAGGAAGACTGCCATTCAAACAGAAGCAAAAGGCAATTTCTTTATGAGCTCGTTATTGTAAGTACTGTTCAGTCAAACTCAGTTATTGGTATTTTGTACTGTTCAAGAACATTTTTTTAAAGTAATTAAATGACCCTCATAAGAATTTTATATTTGTATTTTTAAATATTCATACTTACTAAAATAGTATTCATCTGAAAAAATGTAAACAGATACTTCACATAAATTAAAATAATATTTTTTTATTTGAACCAAGAAACTTATGTTAATTGATTCAGCCCACAGAAATTCAAATTTGGAAAAATTCAGGAGTTTTTTTCCTAGGCCATATTTTTTATGGCAAAAAACCCCCTTAAAAGTAACAGAGGCTGCTTGCAGACGTTAAAAGAGAAAGTGCTTTACTGGAAGAAGCAGCGAGTTACTTCAACCTCACTCTGCAGCATCTGTATAGATTGGGGGCTTCAGAGGGGCTTATTGGTGTTTTTATCTAAAGCTGTGCCAATCAGCTATTAGATAAAAGCACCAAAAAAGCCCCGTTAAAGCACCCAATCTATACAAATGTCAGGCAAGCTAGGTCCAACTAACGCACTGCCTCTTCTGGGCATGCATGGGGCTCCGCATTGGAGTACGTGGAGTTTAAAGTAAAGCGCTATTTTTTTTAAATGTCTGCAAGCAGCCAGAGTTTTTTGCCACAGAGGAGATGGCATACAAATAAAAGTAATTTTCAAGGAACAAGCTGTTGACATTACTGAGGACAAAAACTGCTTAACTTGCAACTTTTTATTACCAATCTCTATCATAGATGTAAACTAGTTACCTAGCAGTGACAATTTTATAATTTCAAACTTTACAAACTCCTTACAAACTTCCTTTGCTACAATCTGGGTGCTTAAGATGAGTTTATGTTTTTAAAGATAGGAAAGCCTAGACTATCTATTGAAGGCATGATTTTCTGTGTAATGCTGCACATGCCCATCATCTTTATAATACATGATGTTCCTTCCTAAGGAAATGCCAATAAATCATTCCAATTTTTCTTAGAAGTTGATATTTTCAGGGGCGGTATTTGCAAATTTATGAACAAGTTCCGAACAACTTTATCCAATCAAAATGTCTTCAATTCAGGAAGTGCTGTCCTTAAACTTGTCATGTGAGAAGCTTGAATTATTAAATCTCTGTGATCCTCATGTAACTTACTGCTATAAATGTATGTGATGTGCCTGTGTCTGGGTCTGTTTGCAGCCCATGGCCTTAGGCGGTGGGAGGCCAGGGCTAATGGGGCTTAGTCCCCCCAAACTAATTTCACAGCCGCCAGCAACAGTGTCACTGCCACGCCCCAACACTGCAGCGCCATGCCCAGTGCCCCCGCTGCGCACTCCACTGTCGCCACACATACAGCACCAATGTTTGCTGGCCCCCACAATGTCCCTGCAGGGGTCAGGCAGGCATGCCCCACACTACCTAACCTTCCCAAATAATATTTTCTCCCACCACTTATGCCATGGGCTGCCAGTAGGCTGGCCATCATAGAGGACATTCTGGTTTTCTGCTACTCTGTCCTCTATTGATATAATACCCAATGCCTTTATGTCCTTCAAGAGAAAAATAGAGGACATAAAGGCCTCTGGTTTAGTATGAATAGAGGACAGAGGACAACTGGACTGTCCTCTATGATGGCCACCCTAGCTACCAGTTGGACAGCTCTGCCACAGAGAATTGTGGCTTTTTTACAAGGCCTTTTATCCACTCCCTTGTTGCAGACATGCCTACATTTAGTCTTACTATAGCCCATTCCCTTTTAAATGCCTGTGTTCCAAAGCAAATCATACACATGCTGCAACACCCAGACATGTCAACTACAACAGTCTACTTGCAAACTGTTTTAGAGTTGCATAAAAATGACAGAGTCTTGAATTCAGTTATACTGCTTTTTATTAAAAACAATAAAGGTAAACTAAAGAACCTTTCAAGGGGAGACAGGATTCTGTAGATCTCATTACAATACAGGGAAAATGTAGAGGTGCCAGGATAATGTATTAGAGGATTAACAAGACATCCTGTCTGTAAAGGGTGTGCAACTTCCAGCTATGAAATGCAGATCTGGCTTACTCTGACTTTATAGGAGTCATAGATACTAATATAATATAATCTGTGCCACTTATCGAAAAGCCTTTCTGAAGTGTAAAATTAAATTATCACCATGGCCTTGAGAGACACATTTCAGTGCTGCCCAAGAAAGAATATTTTAAAAATCCATTTATAGCTTGAACAATTTCTTGGATGCAGAGCCAAAAAGTATGTTGGTCAGGCACACTGGGCCAGACTTAGCTTTCCATTGCATTGCCTTCCAAGGTGTTTACTCTGGAACGGCACCAGTTAGAGTCTGTATTAAATTTACTGTGAAGGACTTAGGAACTTCAGACAAAATGTGTCATATTAGGCAACGAGAACCCAAAAAACATGGCAGAATTATCAGTTTTGTTACGTACAGAAAGAGAGCAGTCAGACGTGGGCCTACCACCAGCTCCTTATGAAACAGTATTTTGCAGTAGCTGTCACTACAGCAATACATAAAATTATTTAATAGGCAAGACGTGAGGGGGCACTGATATGATCCTTTATTCTAATAATACTTGGATTCACTGTCCTGAATGCCTTGTGTAAAGTGGAAGGGAATGCTACTATAGCCTGAGAATAATGTAGCTATTATGGAACATATATGATGATTCTGAAAGTTATGGATGATGTGGTGGTAGGAGAAAAGAGGATTCTGTGTCTAGACCCAAAGAGGAAGTCTTTTTCTATAGTCTTTCTTCTGGGTATTCAGGCTGTTTACATGCAACTTGAGAAGGCCTCTTCTCTATCTCATTCAGTAAGAAACATCAAAATGTATTTATAGAGGCAGGAATATTAAGTTCCTTGTGGAGCAAGCAAGTTTCCTAATGGAGCTTTATTTAGTAATAGGAAGTCCAGTCTAGAAATTTTTACTTAGGCTATACTCCTAATGACTTTGGTAGAAATAAGGACATCCAGACAAGAAGCATCATCGGTCTGAATCAAATCTATAACTATTAGCAAGCAACCTTTAGAGGCCAGATTTCATTTAATCCATTAGCCATCTAAGTGGACTTAGGTGCCTAACTGCAATTCTATTTCTGTTCAAGTCCCTGAAAAATCTATCAGTGCATCTACTTTTGTATCACATCATCATCTGGCCCTTAAGACTGTGTCACAAAAAAAGTACAGAGAAGGAGGAGAACCCACCCACTTTTTTCCATTAAGTATTTTACAGGGACTCAAGTCAGGTGGAGTAGGATTGCATTTAGGCACAAAAATCAACTTATGTTCCAAATAGGTGGAATAGAATGTGGCCCTAAATGGATTAATTGAGCACATAAACATGTTCTACAAATTACAGCCCTACAAATGACACCCCAGTAGACAAGAGGAGGCTGACTCCAAGGGAGACTCCATTTTCCTCCAAAGGCCACCGTTTGAGGAAGGGTGATTTTAGCTTGTGGTCTGGGTTTCTTAAGAGCCCTGCTGTTAAAACATGCTTACTGGCTGCAAGGAGTCTCTATAACCTGTATCTGATCAGTATTGATCACTTTGGAAGCTGCATTGGTCATTATGTGTCCTGCTCACAACAATGGGGTGGTTGCTCTTTCTGGTGCTGCCACCATTCTCCTATTCAAGGAGGACCTACCATCACCATCTCCTGTGCCCTGATACATGCTAATGACAAACTAACTACTATATTTACTCGCATACCAAACACACCTTTCCCTAAAAAACTAGCTTCCCAAAATCGGGTTGCACCTCTTTAGCAGAGAAGCTGATTTTCTACCCAGAATAGAAGCATGGAGAAATTCCTTTTCCTACCTCCAGCATTTACATGGAGGGAGAAGCAGAGTTCAGCAGGGTCAGTGCAGGTGAGTGATGCACCCCACTTTGATTCTTGCTCCAGGCCACAGTTAAACCAACCGCCTGGCAGCAGCAGTGGTACTTCTGTTCAGGCAGCCTGAGGGAGTCATTTGACTTCATGGAATGTTATAATATACCTCATTCCTAATAATCATTCTTCCCTTTACAGGTGTTAATGCCCCTCTCTCCTTTTGCCTTGATGTGCCACTAAGCAAACTATACTTTCTTCAGCAATGTTGCCATCTGTTTGCTATGCTTGGTCTCCCTTCTATTTCACAGCCCTGTAAACTGTTTTTAGCTCTTTTCAAAATCCTAGTTTCTCCTGTTGAGTCCAGTCTTCAGCAGCAGCTACAGTTTCAGCTGTTGGCTGAGTAACCAGTAGCTAACAATTCACCTGTAAAAAGGTTAAAACTGTAGCTTTTGACTGAGCAGGGAAGGGAGGGTGAGTCACCTGAAGATTAGGCTCTGACCCTGCTATAAACCTGGAAAAAAATATTTTTTTCATTCCATTCTGCCTTACAAAAAACCCAGGGAATATGTCTTATTTGGAAGCATGTAGTATATAAGAAAATATGGCAGCTGAAGGCCTTTACAAGTATAATATTAATGGGAATGGGGGAAGTGCCTTTTTTTTCTACCCTGGTACAGAAAAATCCTTTGATTAAAGAAGTGAAAAATTACTAGCACAGAATTGGAGGCCTAAGTAACAGACAGATAATGAGGACCTTTGAGATTAACCTGGGTCTGATTTAGGAAATGCCATAATTTGGCAATTTTCCATAACATGAAAAACTCTTTTTTCAGTTCAACAAAATTTACACATGAGGGATCTGATTTGCTGCAGAACATTTCACAATTTTTGTCAAAAACAAAAACATCTAAAGATCAAAATCCTTTCAATTTCTGGTTTTTGATATTTGTTTGAAAAGTCAATATTTTCCCACAGGGATACCGGTAGCTCAGTAAACAGGTATTCACACACATTTCCACCAGCTCTACTCTAAATTGCAGGCATATTGCATGTATTTGTTTCTGGACTTTACAAAGGGAACTATTTAGATTTGTTTTGTTTCAACAACACATTTTTTTCCATCTCATAGCCTCACATACTTGAATAATGACAGTAAGCAAATTAAGTATACAAAAGGATTAAATGAAAATGCTCTGGCCAATGTGATCAGTGACTTTCTGGAAAAGAAGTGGAATAGGGATAGCACCTTGTTATAATGAAACTTTAATTTTTATGTTTCATGTCATATTTTAAGAAGCTAAATTTTATGTCCCAAATATTTATGTTGGAGAAGGATCTTTTCCCTTCAGTATACTCAGCTTGGCAGGCCCCAACTAACGTTGGAATGCTGAAGCAACTGGATGCCAAGCTATTTTTATTTTTTTTTGCTTAAGCTTGTGGGCAGCAAATTATTGTACAAAAGGCGTAAAAACAGTTACTTATTTGATCCTAAAAAACATATAGCCTTCCTTAAAGCTATAGAGAGATCTAGTATGTAAAGGTATCTAGTACAGAGTTACCAATAAACAGTAGTTAGTTGCTCTTAAATACTGACCAAAAACATTCATTTTAAAAATTGTTCCTGCAGGCCCTTCTGAAGTTAGATTGCCAAGGATTAGTAGCACGTATAACCCAGGACACTGTCATTTTGACCGCAGCTGTCAAGCTTGGCAGATACTGGAGAGAGCTGGCAGAAAGGTTAGCACGACTCACAAAGCAACAAATTGAAGCTTATGAAGTCCCACACCAGGGCAGAAATGGAGAAGTTGCCCCAGAGGTAAGCCTTCAAACTGTCTCCATCACACCCTTACTGAGAGGTTTATAGCATCTTTTCCAAGTGCGTCAATATGGTCAAAAGCCTTTCTTTCCAATACCTTCCTTCTCCAGTTATTGCCTCCCTACTTAAATTGCTAATTGCTGAGTGCAGGGACTGTCTCTCACCATTTGCGGTACACATTGGCTAGGAATGTCATCTGGGGTCTCTAGGCACTACTGTGGTCAAAAAAAAAGAATTTAATGGGATGTTGCAGCTTCTGTCCACTCTAAATCTTTTATTTCCTCCACTATTAAGGCAATCTATTTCTCCCTTTCTCTTTTCTCCCTCCCTCTCATTGATCTTCCTTCTCTTTGGCCATGGGCAGGAGTTCATTTCTAGAGATAAGAATTTCCGTGAAATTCCCGCTGCTAGGAGAACAGCCCGGGAGCCGGAGTGTGCCTGCGTTCTAGCATTCTGGCTTGTGAGCTACGCGGGAGAGGTCTCCAGCCAGAGAGCACTAGAAGCTGGTCTGTAGGCCAACCCTGCCCTTAGGGGGGTCCATTAATTAACAGCCTGCCCAGGAAGGGGTCAGGCTATCAAAAGGCAGTTTTACAGGAGAAGCACGGCATGGGAGGGAGGAGGAGGAAGAGGAGGAGGAGAAAGGGAGAGCTCTGCCCACTGCAAAGGCTCACTGACAGCTGGGAGCAATCCCGGCACACAGCAAGAGGGCTCTGTTTGGTGCTGGGGGGGCTCTTCCCCTTCCTTCTCCCCCCACCACCGGGGGTGGGGGGCGCCTCTGTGTGAGGCTGCCCAGCCTCAGATGGGATTCTTCCTCAAGGCGGGGAGGAGGCGACTGTTCCATACTGGGGGGCTGCAGCCAACCATTGTGGGCTGCTCACCTCCTCCGCAAACTGTGCCGCCAGGTGCAGTAGTCTGGGAGCTGACCCTGCCTGTTAAGGCTACGGTGAAAAGGGCATTGAGCACTTCAAGTTTTTCTGCAACGTCTGTCATTAGGTTGCTTCCCCCATTTAATTTCTCTTCAGTATCATATATTTACTACTCCCTACAAATACAAAATAAATGGAGATAAACCCTTCACAAAAAGGTGTTTATTTTCTTAAAGTTCATATACCAGTGCATGGTGCAGTATACTAAAATGGAAGACAAAGTAGTTTACAAATACACCTTTTTTGTGGTTTACATTTTAAATCTAATTAATTTACTGTTTGTAGCAGATACTTGATGGTCAGCTACAGAAAACGAAGTCCCCTCTGTAGCTATCCATTGGATTTAGCATTGGAAAATGTATCGTTGGCTGTCCTTTAAAACATGCCTCAATACGACTAAGTTTTAAATGCAGGCTACAGAACATGGTTTCTCTACAGACTACTGGCTGGCCACAAGGTATTGCCTCTCCTCCTAATTTCCAGCTGCTGAACTGAATGAAAAACACCTAAAAATATGCTCAATACCTGAATGTTTTCTCTGTACCAAACAAGTCTACATGCCCTTAGGATGTTATACACATTTCAAATATGTGGTGAGGTGACCTTCATTACTGTTAGCATGCTGCAGCAGAATTTGAAAGTTCTCTTCTGGGGAACTATTTCTTGGATTTCCCTGCAGAAACATGTATCATTTTTTTGAGCCTGAAATTTGTCTAAATCTAGGCTTTAAGATTATTCAGGTGTAAGGCAAACTGTGAGGGTTTTTTTTTTGCTTTAAGCTATATTGCTAACTTATATACTTTTAAGTTATATTACTTTCCTTCTCCATTAGCATTACCAAAGAATCAGCACATCTTCAAATTTCATGTTTATATTAAACGATTGTACTGAGTGGAATTCAAAACTGACTTTTAGCTTTCTACTTTAACTGATTATATTGTTGTTGCTTCCAAGCAAAACTGCCACCATGCCAGTGTTGTTGTAAGGTATAATAAACGATTCTTATAGGATTCAATTTCAACAACTGAACTTGCACTTAGGGAAAATGTAATAGTTACCTTGTTCCCATCAAAAGTTTAAGAATGCCTTTTGGATTTTCAGATTTATGATGTTGCTCTCATTTGTGTTGCTGTGCCTGCACTTATACACTGGGGGACGGTGATAAGACACATTTCAAACTTTACATGGAAAATTATATTTTGCTCACAGCCTGCCATATACATAAAATTACATAATGATCTTATCTTCACTTTGGCTATAGTGACACATTTTGTAAAGAAAGGAGCCAAACATTTTGATGTGGAGCCCACATAAGTGAACAAGATAATATTAAACTGTCACTATGAAACATCAGATAAAATAGCTGCTGCAACCAAATAGCTTTCTAGCAGGTTGTCATTTAGCTTTTATATTCCCTGGGGCAAGCTTGTCCCCACAGAAAACAATATCAGTAATACCCCCCGCACACACACCATACAACAAAGGGTTAACTCAAAACTTGAGGTCCTTCTCAAACCTGGAGAGGGCAATCCCAAATTTGTGCTGCCTCCAGCATTGTAACCTTTCTTCTCTCCTCAGCTTCCTTTTTGGGAGCTTTTAACATCCTGTGGGGCCAGGCAATCATCCCTGTCAGCTGGCTCTGTACACCTGAGGAGATGGGCTCACTCATTAGCCCCCTGCAGCTGGGCTTTTGCCCCTGGCCATGCACTCAGTTATACACTGCCCTTCTCAAGAGTAAAGCCCTGGATACACTCTTCCTTTTCTTCAATCCTCCCCGCACCCAAAGAATAAGTCTGCATTAGTGTGTGCTGTCCCAAGGTGGTGATGTATCAACAAATCAAAAGGCTTCAGGGACAGGTACCAGCTTGTCAAGCAGGGACTGGCTTCCCACATGGAATTAAGTCATGTTAAAGGGGCCTGGCCAGTGACCAAACAAAACCAGACCCCTAGGAGGTAGTAGTGCAGGGCTTCAACTGCCCACTTAATTGTTTGGCATTCCTTTTCTGTGAGACCATACTTCTTTCCTGGGCAAGTAGTTTCTTACTGAGATACAGAATGGGGCATTCTCCATCCTCAAACTTGGGAGAGAACTGTTTCCAGGCCTTTCTCTGAGGCATCTGTTTGCAATATATATGTTTGATAAGTCCAGGCTGCACAGGACTGGTGGAATGCATAGCAGCTGTTTTACTGCCCTAAGTGGGGTCTGACAGTTGGGTGACTATTGAATCCTTTGTGGTACCTCCTTTCTGTGGCAGGTCAGTCAGTGGGGCTGTGATGGCTGTAAATTGTGGGATGAATTGCCAATAGTAGCTTGCCAAGCCCAGAAATTACTTCACCTGTTTTTTGGTTGTTGGCACTGGTGCTTCCACCAAGGCCTTTACTTTTGACTAGGGGCATGATTTTACCATTGCCCAACATATATCTAGGTGTCTAGTCTCTATGTACCCCAGGTGACATTTAACGGGGTTAGCCATGAGATCAGCCACTCATATCAACTGCAACAATTCTTTTACATGCTGGAGGTGGTCTGCCCACATGTTGGTAAATATTGCCATGTTGTCCAGATAGGCAGCCACATATGCCCAGTGTGGGCAGAGTATTTTTCCCATTAAACATTGGAAGGTTGCCAGGGCTCCATGTAGATTGAAAGGTGAAGTCTTGAAGTGGTAGTGACCCCAGGGTGTTGTAAAGGCTGTGATTTCCCCAAACACTGGATCCAAAGGAATTTGCCAATATCTTTTGGTCAAGTCCAGGGTGGTTATGTGCTTTGCAGTAGCTATTCCCTTCACTATTTCATCTTTTCTGGGCATGGGATATGCATCACATTTTGGAACTGTTGACTTTGCAGAAGTCAATGCAAAACTGGATAGTGTGGCTAGGCTTTGGCACCAGCATAATTGGGCCACTGTACACACTGGATAATTATTTGATCACCCCTACGTCTAACATCTTCTTAGCTTCTTGTTTTACCATTTCCAACAGTCATGCTAGAATTCTCTAGTTTTCCTTCTGAATTGTGCAGCCTGGCTTGAGGATAACTCAGTGTTTGATTAATGTAGTCTGGCCCAGACTCACTGTAAACACCTCTTAAAAAGCCTTCTAGAAGGCTTTTTATTTCAGCCTATTGAGTCAGGACCAAAGTTTCCCTTAGCATGAGGCCAGCTATCAAATCTGGGAGGGGATTTGGAATCCCCAGGCCACCTTCCAGAAAACACACAGAGACCAGACAAACCACTCAGGCCTTTCAGGGCTTTAGCAGGTTAATGTTGTATATCTGTGAACTCTGCCATTTCCCACTGGGTAACTTCACAGCTTACCTGGCCTACCCTTTACAGAACCTCAGAAGGACCTAGTCATTTCACCGGTAACTTACTTGAGGAGGAGGGGGGCATAGTAGAACTTGATCCCCTGGCTGGTAGACCCAGAGCTAAGCATATGTATTGTATTGCGGATCTTGCTCCTAACTGGGCCACTCTGAGATTTTTTCTTCGTGAGGGCTCTCACCAGGTCTAATCTTTCCCATACCTTCAAAACACAGCTACAGAAAATATAGTTCAGTGTCCCCTGGTCCTGCCAGGACTCTTGCAGGAGGTCTAAAATGCCCCAGGGCTGCCTCCCATACAGCAACTCAATGGGCAAAAGCCCATGGAAGTCTGTGGAACCTCTCATATGGTGAACAAGTAGGGCAATACCTGATCCCAATTTTGCAGCTCCTCTGAGACAAATTTCCTTATTGAATGGACCTTCAGTAAGCCCTATACCTCCTGTAGTAACCAGGACATGAAGGCTATGCCTGGCCCATATAAACCTCTATAGGAATGCCCACCTGGGAGAAAACCTGTACTAGCTCAGAGGCCACCTTTTATGGTGAAGCCAAGTAGATTGCCACAGCCTTGGAGTAGCAAGTGGCATTGTCAGCCACGACCAGAATGAACTCAGATCCCCTTGAACTGGGCTCCAGCGGTCCCACCAAGTCCACCCCAACCTACAAAAGGGTATGCCAACCAATAGGATAGGCACCAGTGGGGCCTTACAAGTGAGCCAGGGGACAAGAGGATGGCACTTGGGGCAGGATGCACAATAATTTTTGATTTCCTGGTATACTCCAGGCCAAAAAAAAACCTCACCAGCACTCTATCCTGGGTTTTTTCCATCCCCGTAATACAGGATGTGTCAAATTCAAAACCTGGCTGCAATACTATTTCAGGTCCAAAAATTATACCCCTGTGACCTTGTCTTTGATCACTGTCACCAGGAGGTCACCCTGCAACTCAAAACAGGGATCCTGGACTACCAAGCTTGCATCCACTATGGCTCCAATAGCCCATCGTAACTGTCCATACAAAGGAGAATATCCTGGATCCTCCCTTTGATCATGGATGAAATCTTGGCCTTCCCCCACTTGATTCAGTCCACCCTCCTGATAAGCAGCTAAGGTTCCCTGATCCTCTGGTTCCTTTGGACAGGAGGTCCAGATTACATTGAATCCTGATCCCTTTTCCTGAGCTTTTCCTCTGGCTGGTAAGGGCCTCACACTTGACCTGCCACTGCTCTTGCTATGACCTGGGTCAAAGTCCAGAAAGCTAAGGGCCCAAAAAGGGAAATATCTCCCCTAGTTCTGGTTCTGTGAGATTAGGGTTAGCCTGGGTTTTATTCATTCTCCAGGCCAATCATATCAGCTTGGCCATCAAGCCCAAATTTCAGCCTAGCACCAAAAGGTAGGCTTGATGGCTGGCTACTGCTGCTCTTACAAGTCCTTCCTGTCCACTGATGGTCAGGCTCAGGCGGATTATGGGGTAGGGCTGGGTACCCCCATGAATGCAGGTGACATATGCACATTTGTTATCAGCATGTTTGCTGGACTCACAAACCACTCATGTAGAAACATCTGGGCAGAGCCTGAGCCTGTGAGCCCTACTGCATGGATATCCCTGATTTTTAAAGAAGCCATGTATCCCCTCAGGTCTGGGCTCTCCTGCCTCACTTCTGAGACAAAGGCATGAGAATCCACCTCCAGACAGACAGTCCCAATATTGGTGCTCTTTCTCCCTGCATTGGAAACATGTCACTGGAGCTTCTCAAAGTATGCCCCAAGTGGCTTTATTCTCTGGGGGGCCTACTCAAGGGCTCTTCTCTTGCCTAGGGTCTTGGAGGAGATGGAGGTAATGCCCCTACCAGGACATCCCTAGAGACCTGGCCTGTTTGCCTGTAGCCCCAGCTTCCTTGGGCCTGGAAGCTGCTGGCTTCCCCAGCAGTCTAATTCTGCCCCATGAAGTCCTCTACTTTCCCTGTGGCTTCCTCCAGGCTGGCCACCCAATGGTGCTACACCCACCTCTGGGCTTTTACTGGGAAGATAACAGAGAACTGTTCTAAAGTCACTGGTTCCATAATCTCCATAGCCAATCCAGAGTCTGGATTTACCTAGTCATAATATAAATCCTTTAGCTGCTGGGCCATGGCATAGGGCTCTGAATTCTGTCCCGAGTCTCCACTCAAAACTTGAGGCAACAGGCCTCCTGCTTGAGACCCAACTAGTCCAGCATGGCCACTTTAAGGGTTTTGTAATTCCAAGCTGAATCTGCTCCCAGGACCTGGCAAGCAGCCCATACTTCTCCAGTTAATAGAGGAGCCACTGTCACAGCCAGTGTATCCTATGGCCACTGATAGGTCTCTGCCACCCACTCAGGAGTTTCAAGGAAAGCCTGTGGTTCATCTGCATGTCCCATCTTGGCAAGGACTCCACCCTCTAACCTTAGGGAATCTAGCGACTCATTAGTGTGGGTGGGGGCCCATTTTGCAACCAGCTGCTGTTTCAGGAAGACCTGCAGTTGCTGATGCTGCTCTGTGGAACTGCTGTTGTTGGTTTTATTGCTGCTGAAAAAGCTGTTCTTGCTGCAGCCCCTCCAGCTATTTTAGGAGGATTCAGGTCTCCATGACTGATATTTTTTCAAGTACCTGCATTCTCTACCACGTGCAGCAAACTATCACTCAACTTTAATTTTCCCTGGGGCAAGCTTGAGCCCACAGGAATCAACATCAATACTAAAACAAACAAATATACAAACAACAAAGGGTTAACTCAAAACCTGTGGTCCTACCTAGGACCTGGAGAGGGCAACCCCAACTCTGTTATGCCTTCTCAGCACTGCAACTCTCCTCAACTCCCTCCCTGGGAGCTTTTAACTCTCTCTGGGGCCAGGCAATCACCCCTGTCACCTGGTCCCAAGCGGGCAGGCTATTAGTCATTCACCCTCTGTGGCTGGGCTCCCACTCTTAAGCCATGTACCCGAGTACACTGTCCTTGTCTATCAAGGAAGAAACCACCCGAAAAACAACCAGGCTGCACTGTCTTACCTGTTTCTTTTAATGTTTCTAGTTGTACATTTTTTTACCACAAACTGATACTAGCTGCTATAATGAGATAGTGTCTATAAATATAGCAACATATGGTATAGTATATTTTTTATAGGAAGAGCTAGACTGATCTAGTAATTGTATGGAATTTATATAATTTGACAAGTACGGACATATTTTGGGTGCCTATATATTATGATCTACCAAATTTGTGGTTTTGCCATTTGTGCACAAACAGAAAATTCACTCAGTTTCCATGAAAAAGCCTGGTCCTCACAAAAAAGCATGGGGACTGCGAAAAGACATGAAGTTGGCAGGGAGTGGGGGGAGGGTGAAGACTTGCAAAAACAGAAGTGTGGAAAGCTCTAGCAGCCTTGTGCCCCAGCCAGCCCCTCTGCAGCATGCTGAGCTGGGTCAGAGCAGGCCCAGCCAGGGCTGCTCTGACCCAGCTCAAAATGCTGTGGTCCCAGGGGCAATAGACTGGTGTGGATTGCATCAGAGTTTATTGTGTTGCATTAACAGCATGTGCAGATGCACCCTCACAATCTAAGTCAAATCTGCAGCAGCTGAGGAACTGCAATTTTTATTTGTAAACTAAGCAAAATTGATATGGAAATCTCTCAGTACTTTAAAAGATTTAAGTACAGGTCTGCATCTGCTGTGTACCGTCATAATCTCATTGCAATCACTGGAGTTATAACAATTGACCACAGTTGAAGATCCATCATGGAATGCATAGTTTGGAATACTTCCAAAAAGGATACTGTCAATTTGATTTTTTAAAATGAATTTATGATCTATCCCCATTTATTATTTAAAAAAAAAAAAAAAAAAAGCAAACAGACATGTTTTTATCAAGGTTTTTCTGCTGCTTTGCTGGAACTTTGTAAAGGCTTTTTAGGGAGTTGCAGCCTTCCTGCTACAGTTGCTAATAAATACCTTCTTGCAAAGGAAGGTGATGCACACATCAGTTAGCTCCTATCTAATCAGTGCATAAAGAAGACACCCTAATGCTGATTCATGAGACAGTACAGCTATCAACAGAACTGTAAACCTCAATATATGTGACTGCTGTTGAACAGATAGATGAAAAAACTGAAAGGATTTCACTCTCACCCACTTTTCCATGTTATTGATCATTGCCTTTACTTGCAACTACCCTGGGTACACTTTTTAGGCAGAATATATAGATTTCTATCTAATAGCATCCCATTAAATGAAAATTCAGCTTCTCACTGCTACATATTTCACCAAAAATGGAACGATTGTAGGAAGCTGACTAAATGGACAGAAACTGTAGTTTTACCTGGACATGCTTTATATGAAAACACATTGTGCTCAAGGAGCAAAAGTTAATGCGTTTCCTCTTCTAGGACATTCATTACTATTCCCTTATAATGAATTGCTATTCCCTTGTTGCTTCATTTTCTCCAAATACTTAATCTTTTTTTTCCTTGCAGATGATGTGGAAACCTGCATATGATTTTCTATACACATGGGGTGCCCACTATGGCGACAGCTACAGAGATGTATTACAAGACCTCCAGCTGGCTTTGGACAAAATGAAAAACCCTGTGACTAAAGACTGGAGAGCGTTAACTGGAGCTTTGATCCTAGTAAACTGCATGGAAGTCCTAAGGGCAAGTGCTTTCTCAAAGATAAAAGAGGAACCCTGAATCCTCTCAAGGAAGATCTTTTGGAGAATTATCCTGCTGGGTTTTATACTCTTTAATTAATTTTTTTAAATCTCTGATTTTACAAAAGAAAATGGAACGAGTCCTTTCAGTTTAACTTTTTTCTGTACAGAAACCTCAACTGCCCAGGGCCAGAAGGGAAAGGCCTGAAGGGCCCTTACTGAAAGTTGTAAAATATTATGAGAACCACAATGACAAAATTTTTGGATGAATCAGCAAATTCTAACTAAAATATTTTGCTGGAATTTTTCTGATCAGTGTTATATGGGGTTTCAGTACCTCTGAAAACCAGTTTACTTATTTTAAATTGGGAACTTAAAAAAAACCAGAGGCTAATGAAAAGTAGTGGGCACTTCTGAAAAGGGTTCTTAGCTTTGTAGAAAGAGTTTGCTGTTTTGGGGCTATTTTTACACTACCAAGTCTATATATACATCAGAAATTCTCTAGTCCTTCTCACTTCAAGTGGTACTTTAATCTGCATGTTCCCCTGATGGACTACAGTTAGATGAAAAAGGAGATCTATACAAAGCTGTTATCAGACTGCCAGTCACAATATATGACCTTCTGGGTAATCCACTACCTCTCATATTGCTGTTTTCAAAGAGAGTAGCTTAGCAGGTACAGAAATAGATCCAGAATGCATGAAACCTTATTGTATCTAATTCTCATTTGTGCCATTATTGCAGGCAAGTCAGCTAGTATATTGCCAAAAAGATACAAGTGTTAATCCTACAGTTAAAAGAAAGGAAAATATTTTAGGACCATTTATGATTTGTTTATACAGCAATTCACACTTGCCTGATTCCTACTGATTGCATGCACTAAAATAAACCTGTATAAATCCTTTTCAATAGAAATCTTACCAGTGTGAAGAAGCTTGTAATAAATGCAGCGCCCACACAGATAACACAGGCTTGGGTGACAGCTCCTGTCTGACCAGATAATCCCTTATTATTGTTAGCTTCTCAACTCAAGAGAATTTTTAAAAACAAGCAAACTTTTGATGGCTAAATGATAGCTCCAGGAACCAGAGCAAAATATTTTAGAAATCAAACAGAAAAGAACAGCTGTCACAGGTAGACCTGAAGGCCCATTTGCAAAGTCATTTTGTAAAGGGAAACCAGACAGTGGCCAACCTTTAGGCTAGGGACAGAAGTTACACATAAACCATTAAGTGATCAGAAACTCGTTTAAACCTGTAACAGAACAGAAGCTCAGTGCACATACAGCAGTTTCAAAATGGCTGAAACTGGTTTAAAATAAACCTGGTTGAATGTAGTATCAGACTTAACTGATTTGGGCCAAACCGGTTTATGTAACGTCTGTCCCAGACTCCTTCCTGGTTCAAATTAAATCAGAGTCCCACAGCATCCCAGCAAGCTTTCCATCCCTGGGCTGGGCTGTGCTGTCTGTTCCAGAGAGCAGGGCTCCCTAGCTGGAGCAGTGAGGGGTGGCTGACAAGGGAATGGCCCAGCTGGGGACAAAGCCCAGTCTACAAGGGAGGGGAGAGGAGGGGACCCCAGCCAGGGTTTGGGGCCAGGGAGAGGAATTAAACACCCCTTCCCCCGCTCAAATTTGCTGCTGGCTGTGACTGTGGAGTACAAATCCCAGAGGCATCCTGAAACAGGAAGAGGAAATGATGAGCAACCCTGCAGAGTCCTGTTGCTTTAATCCAGGACTGCAAATCCCAAAGACCTTGGGGGCAGCAGGAAGAGGAAGTGAACACACAACCCTGGCCTGAGCCACTGCCAGCATGTGGCTGCATTTCATGAATCAAAGATAAATGTCTGCTCACTTCTGTTTTAATTTAATCTGTGCAGTTTAGACTAACCTGCAAAGACTGCCTCAGGTTTTTTGACCGTCTGTACCTAGCCTTAGAACAAAAAAACAATTTCTACCCTTTGAACCTTGCATGAATCTCATACACTCACATTGCAGTTTTGTTTCAGTGTGACTGACACAAAAAAGGGACACTTTTATTAATCTGGAGAAGAAAAGACTGATGGGGGGTTTAATAGCAGCCTTCAGCTACCTGAAGGATGGTTATAAAGAGGATGGAGTTAGATTGTTCTCAGTGGTGGTAGATGATCACTAGGAAGGTAATAAAACACTGGAACAGGTTACCAAGAGAGGTTGTGGAATCTCCATCCTTGGAGGTTTTCAAGAACAGGCATGACAAAGTCTTGGCTAGGAGGATAGAGATGGGGATGCTCCTGCTCTGAGCAGGAGGTTGGACTAGATGACCTCCTGAGGTCCCTTTCTACCTTCATTTTTTATGATTCTATAAGCACAGAACAAAAGAGCATATTTACATGATAATTCTCTTTCCTCAGGGCATTTTTTTTTACTTTCATTAAACATTCCCTAGTTACGTAGAACATGTGAAAGGAGGCAGGGTGCACTGAAGAGATCTTGATTTATTAGAGAACTTCTCATGTACTCATGAAAAGTTCTCTACCCATCATTCAAGGCCGGATACTTCCATTGAATTGGCATTTCATAATTCAGTTGGCTTGAGTGCACACCTGATTTGTATCAATGCTAGTGAACTGAGAATCAGGCTTACAGAGCACTAATGAAAATAATATCTTTCTTTGACAAGAAAGGGGATTTTGACAAGCCTTGCACCAGAGAGAAATTATATCAATCAAGGAATCACAACAGAGCAGGGGTTGCTTTCATGTTGTGCCTATTATCATACTCCTCTGACTTTAAGATGTGAATCAGCAGTGATCTTGCATCCTATTGAACAAAACTTGGAATTGGTCCAGTATATTTAGCAAAATATACTGGCTTACTGAGTCAGTAAGCTCCTTAATATACAATATTATGTGATCAGTCCTTTAGGTTTATTTGTTTTCAGGAGGGTATTTATAGCTAACACAGTTATGCAGGGCTCTAGGTTCTTGAGTTCTGGTCTTTATTAGCTAATTCCATACTAAGTTTTGTTTTACATTTCTCCTCGTGAACGAAATATGCACTCATGCAATATTCTGTTTACTTTAGCAGCCTACACTGAATGTAAAAAAAGTATTAAAACCCATATTTTATTTATTGCTTACATATTTAAAACCACAAAATGCCAGTTCTGAGCTGCTACTGAGATCAAATGCAGCTGTTCTCTGCAGCAGCACTGAGCTTGGAGAACATGGCCTTGGTAAACACTCTACTCTTAGCCCCTCTTGACAGGATGTAGGAGCAAAGAACTACTGACCCATGAGCTTACATATTTATCTTCCTTGGTCTTCATGAGGAGGGATATAATAGCAACTCCCCCTGTGACTTTGGCCATACCCTTGGGAGAGGACAAAGAAAAATATCTACCTTATAACCATCCACAATACAATGCATCTTCTGCCTTGACATTTCCAGGTTTCACCATTTGTCATTGTTGTTGCTGTCTTGTGGAGACAGAAACATTGGACAATTCCTTCCTCTCCACATTCTTCTGTGCAAAAAAAGAATGTACTCAACCCTTCTCATCTCTGAAGAGTCCAGAAAAAAGGTTCAATATCCCACCCCTACTTCCAGTGAGAAGGGTCTTATTAAGGTGTGCAGCTGCCTATGCCTCCAACATTGGGGAACACTTCTTGCACTCCTGCAATGACTCTTCATAGAGCAGTCACATCCTAAAGGACAAAGGGTAAAGAGTAACTCTGCCTCAGTCACCCACCCAGAGTGCAGGTTTTTCCTTTGAATATGGAATCTGTTTCCCTCAGTCCACTGCTGTGGCATTCCTGTATCATAGGATTCAGTGGGCCAGTACAGCAGGACAGAATCCTTATTTGAATCCTAATCTAGGAAAGGGGTAAAGAGACAAATTATTTGCTCCTACAAACCTCTATCCATGAACTGAATGGGGAAGAAATGCTTTCTTGATGGTTCCTCTGAAAGCAGATGATTTGGGAATGGACAAAAGATTGCCCCATGAAGAAAGCATAAGCAAGAGGGCTGGTCCCACAACCAACTTCTTAGAAAACATCAGCAGTAACAGAATGGGAGCTAGGGTAATGGGGAGGCAAAATTTTCAAATTTAGGGGCATAGTCATCTTGCTTCCTTCTCTCTGGAAACAATGTAGGAAAGCATAGACATGGTGTATTCCAGGGAAGCTATGACAAGGAATGAATCACTCTATATACTGTGCTCATATGCTTTCCATCTAATGCACCCACTTCTGCCACTGTCAGGGACAGGATACTGAGCTAGATGGATGGTTGATAAGACCCACTCTGGCACCTCTTGGGTTCTGATGTTTGCTTTCCTTTCCACTGGGAAAAAGAAAGAGGTTGGGGTTTTATGCATACCTCTCTGGTGATTTACCAAAGGGGTTGGGCTTTGCACAATGCAAGTTTCTAAGCTAATATGAAGGCTTAAGCAACTATGAAATATTTCAGAGTTTCCTCTAGTAGGCTCTCAAGTCAGGCAAGATCTTCCATGCTAGAAATAGAGTTGTTGAGAGTTATAACCTGTAAGTATCCTGTTCTGAACGAATCCCAGATTGTTTATTGTCCTTGCATTGGTTCTCACTGACACCTGAATCAAGTAGGTGGATAAAGCTTTGTCATTCTAGTTTGCGTTTTGAAGTCACTTTACATACATGCAAATTTCTATGAAAGGGTCAATGAGTGTATGACGCACACTCTGGGCCTCTTTTCTTCCTTTCACACCACTTTAACTTCGTGAACTTACATAAATTTCCTGCCAGTTTATACTAGTATGAGTGTCGAAACAGGATATTCTAGTCAGGGATTTTCTCAACCTTTATAGATACCTAAAACAAAACAAATGTTACTCAGATGCAAGTGATAACCTGTTTCATGTAGTATTTCTGTTGCTGTCAGTACAGGTCTGAAAACAAGTACCAGTTACAAATATAAGGCCCTCTGCAGATTACACTTAGTACAGAAAAATTGTGAATTTATTTGTTACCAGTATATTTATTTTTATCCAAACTTTTTAAAAACCTTACAGTATATATTTTTAAACATAATAAACAAGGGAAAATAACCTTGTATACTGTAGTCTTCTTGAGTCTGCAAACAGCAGGAAGCAACTGCACTGCATCTCAATGGTTCAACTAAGGAACAAAGTCATCAGTAGACCAGTTGCTACAAATCCTCTTAATAGAAGTATTAAGCAAGGTAATCTGAGTCCAGTCCAAAAGTGTGGTGAACAATTTAACAAGATAGGCACTCCTGTACCAATTTCAGTAATCAGTTAGGTATTCATTTTAAACCTTTTTTCTGTAAATTTAAATGATCTATGGCATGTGACCACCTCCT